TTAATTTGCATACTATAAAATTCACCATAGGAGGAAATTTTACTTCTATGAAGAGATTAATAGATTTAAGACCAGTTCCCACATTTTATCCATTCATTTATTCATTTGCATTCTCTCTCTCTCTCTCTCTCTCTCTCTCTCTCTCTCTCTCTCTCTCTTGTGGCTCAGCCCACCTTGGGAATGTGGCTGGTGCACCATTTGGTGCTTGGGAGTGAACTGTGGTCCCGGTGCTTTGCCAAAGCTTGCCAAGCAGGTGCTTTAAACTGCCGAGCTATCCCCCTGGCCCCATGATACTTTCAACCCAGTTTCTTCATCCTACTTTGTCTCCTTTCTGGAAAGCGAAGGACTTGCATAATTCTCTTTTAGTGATAAAGAGTATGACAGCAGCAATTTATTTACTAGTTGTAAGCTCTTACTGGCACTAAGTTTTGTGTTGATTTCTGCACATTGGGTCCAATTTGGCCTACAGAAGTCTTCCAAAATGTTCATATTTTTCTAGTTTTCATAGGAATAAATTGATTATCAAAGCATTTGTGAAACCTAACGTAGGTAATTTAATGATAAATGAAGGGTTTAAGTCCAACTTGGTCTATAAATGGCAGTTATGGAATATTGGTTCACATTTAACATTCATTATAATATTCTGTCTCCTCTATTTTATCACCATAAAAACTCTAGCCCAGGGCTTATACTGAAATTTTCAAAATCATGCCAAGGCAGCCAATGGAAGCAATAAGATTTACAAATCAGGTTTAACTCTTTCCACAGCAGTTGCCTTTGTTGCTATATGGTACTGCTTTCATTGCTATATGCTATGCTTTGAAAGGGTTTCCCCTAGAATTTCCTGGATGTGCTTCTACCTCATAGTTTTGTCCTTCATTTCACCCCTTACTTTCACTATTTATTGTATTTCCCTGTCTTGTTTTCTTTGGTTTTTCTTGGACAATATGTAATGTCAACCACAGCATGGTTGACATTGAAGACTAAGGACTATGTTGTTTGAGGATGTCTTGTGCATCTTAGGTGCACCTTTGGCATCCGTTCTTTATGGACCAAAAGAAAATTTCCTCCAATAATGTCAGTCAAAGTGTCCTTAGGGTGGCACAATTACCCCCATTTCAAAGTTACTGTTTTCACTGTAAAGAATCCTGGGTTCTAAGTCTCATAAATCTGTACATATTTTAATTCTATCCTTGAAAAATCCTCTTTGTGAGTTTTTGAATAAAGTAAACTCTGAGATTCAGTTTTATTTCTGCACTATGAAGGTGGGTTTTGTTAGGGATAGACTTCAGGTAGGATTAAACATGAATAGACAAAGGCATCTTGGCTAGACCTTGCGACTAACGAAGGAAAACTCTTCCTTGCCAGCACCTGTGCTACATCTTGGATTCTATTGTGAGCTGTGCATTGTGAAAGTTCAAGGTCAGACAAGAACAAAGTTCCCAAGAGTAATCACTGCTACATGTGGACTTTGTCCACACTCAAACAGCTGCTTTCAGCTTTCAAAGATCATAGTACCTTTTAAGTATCAATATGTTTATTTACCTGAGGCCTTCAATACACTGAGATAATACCAACATTGAATAATATTACTTATGCTCATATATAACTGAACAAAGGAGAAAGTTAAGGCCTAGACTAGTTATTCTAGTTTTTTAAAATATTCCTAGTTGTAAAATGGCATAGCCAGAATTTGACCTTAGTCTCATTCCTCCAGAATTATGCTCTTGATCTTCTCCCTGACTTTATTTTTTCAACAAGTCCAGAGTTTCTATTCTTTTTCTGTTCTCAGACATCCTTCAAGACACTTACAAGATGATATAGTCCATAATCTTTAACTTGTTCAGCTTAAGATGCAATAAAATGAAGTGAAGTGACAGATCAGGGCTGGGCCAGGAAGACAAATTTGCAAAATTGCAGATGACCCTAGTTGTAAAGTGGGCATCGTAGCTGTGAACACTGGAGCTTACCTGCCTCTCCCCAAAGAGCCCTGGATGGTGAGGCCTAGTGCATGGCAGCAGCACTTCTAGCAAACTGCTCTGGGGCCAAACATCGCCATTATATGATGAGATAAACCACGGCTCAGAGATAGGAAGTGACTGACAAATTTCCCAACCATTTCTGTGTGTAATTACTGTTTAGAGCCATGTGTTTTATTTTTTTTTTTTTAATTTTTATTTTTGGGTACTGGGAATCAAGTTCAGGACCTCATGCTTGCCAGGCTGCACTGCATCCCAGCTGCATGCATGTACTGTACTTTACATTAGAACTCAGTGTACCCTTGTGATTAACTCATCATATTCTCCTCTTCACTTTTAAAATTGATTTCAGTTCTGCTTCCTCCCAAACTCCCTGACTTCTTCCTTGGCTGTCACTTGACTGATATTTCCCTGAGACAATGCTAACAAGTCATTGTGAAATTTTAAATTTCTTCCACCAAATCTTCAATCTCCTTGGTGACTAGAATTCTTTCCAATTCCCCATACTGACCTTCCACAGTATTTGCTCTGAATCCTTCTCACCTTCTCCAAATTATGCCTCAAAGATTTTTCTTCTATTTTCTGCCTAAAATCCAACAAGGGTTTCATTTCAGCTATTTCATTCTCACTGTGACATAAATTTTATTATACCCTTCCTTGAAAAGTTATGCTCCTTACTCTATGTTCCTTTTCAACTCCGGCCCAATGTCTTTCTCATGAGATATCTTTCTTTTTTGTTGAAAAGAATGCAGAGTCAGACATTAGAAGATGTAACTATAACTTCTCTCCTCAAAATTTCTCCAAAGTCACTCAAGTCACCTAGGTCCTTTACACTTCACCAGATGTGGTCTCCTGGAACCATCTGTATGACTGCTTGCCACCAAAGCCAGTGGAGCCTTCTCCATTCTTGTCCTGATATCTCAGTACCATAGGATTCATCAGATTCTTCTTACCCCCTCAGATGCAGTTCTTTTGTATTTGAGAAAGTAGCATGCACACAAACTCATTCTTAATTCTCTAAGTTTTTCTTCACTCTTTAATTCCAGCCACTGGCTATGTTTATTTCAGTCAAATTTACAAGCTTTATATTCTTTCAATAGCATTTTCAATTTCAGTTTGTGCCTTCCTATATACCCCTTTGTCCTCTGTCTATAATCATCCTACAGGTGATTTCCAACCTTGTGGCTTACACATTATGTTGACAACATTTAATCTAAATTATCATCCATGGCATTTACACAAAGCTCTTACCTGATAGAACCAAGCAAAACCTGTCATCTCCACATGACCAACAAAAACACAGATTAACAGTGATTGAAGAATACTCCTAAATATCTTATTGTTCCTAAGTGAGCCAATGTGACAATGTACTGAGTTTATATGTTCATTGTAAAACACCAGATGTATATGACTTTGATTTTTCTTTATTACTCAGTAATCCAGACCTAGCCCTTTTCATACTGAATATACTCAGTCATCTCTGCCTCACGATTATTTTCTCTAGTCCTGTATATATTTCACTAACTTCTTAAATAAGTTGTTTCATTCACTAAAATAAAATTACACCATATTTATTAAGAGGATTTTATAAAAAAATATCGTGACACTGAATGCGACATTTTGGCCAACATCTGTAATCCCAATTTCTCAGCCGAATGAAATGGGACAGTGACAGTTGTGAGATCACTCAGAAAGCATAGTGAGGCTCTGTCTCAAAAGAAAATTCATAAATTATTATGTGGTTGTGCACCTCATGTTGAGTGTCCCTGTGTTAGATCCTCCCCTACACAAGAAGATAAATAAGTAAATACAAATAATAACAAGGATAATGATATTGTTCACCTCAACAGTGTTTATAATGTCCATCCTGACTCACAGTTGACCAGGGTTCCTGTCTACCTGTCTGACCCTAAAGGGAAGGCTTTCCCACATCTTATCCCTCCACTCAGGTCTTTTGCACTGTGATCTGTTCACACCAAGCTTCCGCACTTTCTCATACATGCAGTTCTTTCAATCTCAGATGCACTGCATTCTTCACTCCCTTCTGCTTACAATGTTATTCTCTTTGAGTGTCCCTTACCTGGTTGTTCCTTATTATTCATTTCTTAACCTAAACATTATGTATGTCCTACAAAGGCTTTTTCACCCGTAATGCGAAGCTTTTTCCCCAGACACAGCCAGTCTCTCCAGGTATACATGTTGTTTCTATACTGATTGATTTATTTTTCACCTTTAGTATCCTCAGCACTAATGTATAACATCTACAAGACTATTACATTTGTTAAATGCTTTTTCTTTAGAGTTACACTCTGAAATAGAAATGTATTGTGAACTGTAAATACGAGTCACTCATGATTTACAATTTTCTAGTAAGTATGTTGAAAAACAATTTAAAATTCTAGAAAAATGAGTTTTATAGACATATTTAATTAACATATCCAAAAGAATATTATTGGAATATTGGCCAGTTCAATGCCAGGCAAATACTTAGAAAGAGCTGGAATTAACACCACAAAACAAAGAAAACAGAAGTTATAAATAGGATCATTTATACCTGGCGTTTGGCACTCTGGCTTTGAACATAATTAATGCCATTTGCACTCTGAACATTCAAAGTTGAAAGCTCAGTACTTATTGTCATCTGTTGAGTTTGATATTGGACATTTCCATTTGAGAGGCAGGAAATGTCTATAATCTAATAGACATTCAAATAATATTTCTAAATTGTCTCACTGCAACTTACCTCCAGCTGGCTTTCCTGCTTGTGTTAGACTCCTGGCTTCAAGTGGAGTAAAACAAATTCTCAGCTTTCAGACTAGATTTTATGGGTCAAAGGGAGGGACAATGAAACCAGTACTAATCACATGACAGAAACTGAAGGCTCCTTTTGGTTTCCTGTGGAAACTAGAAGCATGCAATAGACTCTTAGATACATGCTTCAACATTGAAAGGGAGAATAAATGAGTGTCTTGTGAATATCAGCATTCAGGAACCAGGTACAGGGCTTTTTTTCTTCAGAGTCAAACATTTGGAAAAAAAAACTGTTGATGTGAGAAGAATTAGAGGCAAACAGTAAAAGAGAGATGTTAGTTAAATAAAAACGCACTTCTCCATTTAATACATTTACATGGATTTTATGGTATTTGCCAATTCGAATTCTTCACGGATATTCGCTCTGTGTCCTAGAAATCTATTCTGTCCCAACCCCTTCAAGATGCAAAGGACCAGTTTTCAGACTATACAGAAATGAAAGTTTTTTGTTGGTATCTTCTTTTAAATTGTGCATCATAGATTTTGATATATATGGAGGGCAATCACTGAAATGGGAGGAGTGTAAGTCTGCAGGGTTGGTAGCTATAACACAGCACCATAGTGGAAGGGGTTATATAATAGGAACAAATGAGCCTACTGTCATGGGAGTTGGAAGATAGGCCAGTAGTGGGTCCTATCTTTGGCTTGAAGATGGCTGTCTCCTGTCCATTAGGTCCATGACCGTTGCTCTGCGTGGGTCTGCATTGTATTCACCTCATCTTCATGACATCAGTCCAATTGGACTAGTGACCTCCATGGTATATCACTAGATTTTTTTCTTTAACAATCTTATCTCTAAAAGTGACACTGTATTTGGTGTTTTTGGTGTTTGAAGGACACAGTTTATACCATAGTAATATATTCTTTTAAAAGTGAGGAACTGGTCATTTTTACTCTCAGTTGAGATGTAAAATCGCTGACACTTGGCAATTAGAATGAGGAACCAAACATAAGCCATTTTCTGTCTTAGTTTGGCTTGCATGAAAGAATCAATAATAGATTTAAACATTTTACTGGCTCAATAAAATCAAAGAATATTTTGTGACACTGATGATGGTAGGAAATCCAACAGCAATATCTATAGGTAGAGCTCTCTTTACACCCAGTCACTTTGATTTGTAGTATAGCCTCTTGGGTGATGCCCATGCTACAGAGCACAATTAATGAGTGCCTCAAGGTGGTAGATGTTTATTCTCTAACTCTACAGAAAATGCTGACCATGGTTATATGTGGTGACAACTGAGTAACTGAGGACCAGCATTCCCAGATTGGAGCTCAACCTTCTCTTCCATCCCGAACGCGATCTAGATGCCTCACTGTTCTCTCTATGTTTCTCTCTCTCTCACTCTGTCCTCTCTTTCTCTCTCTCTCTCTCTCTCTCTCTCTCTCTCTCTCTCTCTCTCTCTCTGTTTCATTCTCACTGTTCCTGTTTCTGTCTATATGTGTGTGTATCTCTTTCTCATTTCTTCATTGTACATTCAATTGCTTAGCACTGACTCTTCTAACTTTGAATATGACCCTTCTCTATATCTCAATTTCTTGGGAGGGACTGGACTAGACACACAATTCCTTCATCTATTGGCAATGAGAGATCAGGTACTTTGTGTCCCACAGAGGATGGTGAGAAACAATATTGGGACTCTGGTTTCTAAAAGGTCTCAGAATACTTCCAAATGGTTTTGAAATAGATGTCATATCAGTGTAATCTTGTGGTCATACGAATCACAAAGAGAATTGGTTTCCTTTTTTTTTTTTTTCCCCAGTTTGTCTCAGTTGATAGTTCCTTTTCCATCCGCAGTGATACGTAATCAGTGTAGAATAATAGAAAGGAGCAATTATGGTAGGAGTTTGGTGATTACAACTGTCCAGGCCAGGGACCACAGATGTTGGAACATCCAGATAAGAGATACAGACTTCAGGCTGCGGAGCTAGGTAGGGCTTTGTTCACTGAACTTTTGGTAACAATGAGCTCTGTAGAGTAAGTTGTAAAGGAATGCGAGAGGAAGAAGTAAACGTAAAATTCATGCCATTCCGTCACTCATACCATATTTTTCTGTAAAAGACAGCAAAAGAACTAATAAGAAACTGAATATTAATATGGAATTGGACAGCAATATATTTTAACACTAAGGCATTCTAGAGTAGGAATCATCACTGTAAAGATTATTCCATGAGAAGATTCAGCATATTATCTGTTATAATAACTGTCAATGTCAATGTTTTACTCCCCGTCCAAATATAAATACCACAAAATGGGCCAAAAATAATGCCAGCATGTCTTCTTTACAGGAAACATACTCTACTCAAGAGGAAGTTCATAATCCAGTGGCAAAAGGGTATAACCAGAGGCCCAAAGAAGTCAGGGGTAGCTATGTTCTTTTCAGACACAGCAGATTTCAAACCAGACCTCCACAAAAGGGACAAAGATGATCGCTCCATACTCATAAAGGGAAAAATTCAAAGAGAAAAGGTCATTATAAATAAGCATGCTCAGGACCAGGAAGATGGCTCATTCGAATAAGCACTTCCCTGGCAAGCTCAAGGGCCTGAGTTCAAACTCCAGTTCTGCTAAATAAATAAATAGATACGCTTCAAATGTTGGGACACCAAAATTCATAGAACAAAAACTACAGGACACATAAAAGACAGTCAGACAACACAATGTAGCAGAGATGTTCAATATTTCACAATGAGATCGACCACACCAAAAAATATTCTCTAAGAAATATGTAAAACCACACTATCAAACAAATTAACTTCCTATATGTCTATAGAGTTTTTCATCTGTAAAAGAATACATCCTTTTCTTAGTAGCTGAGAAACTTTTACTGTAATTGACCATATCTTATGTTTTAAGGCATGCTTAAATAAATTCAAAAGAAATAAGATAATTTTCTGTATACTATCAGATCATAATAAAATAGAGATAGAAAACATAAACAAAAGAAAACACAGAAAGCATATAAACACAATGATATTCAACAAAGCATTACTGGATAATTAGTGAATCAGAGAAAAAATGTTCCAAAATCAAATGACAGCGGAACCATAAATGCCAAAACCTATGGGAATACTGAAAACAGTTGTAAGAAAGAAGTTTATAGCTGCAAATGCTCATATTGGAAAAGTTGAGAAATCACTAATTAATAACCTAAAGATAGATCTCAGGTTTTTAGTAAAGGAAGATCAATCCAAATCCTAAATTAATAGAAAAGAAAATATAAATTTCAGAATAAAAATAATAAAGTTGAGTATAAAATGAAACAACACAATGTATAAGTGAATCAAATACTTGATTCTTTGAAAGGATGAATAAGGCCAAACATAATCAAGAAGGGAAAAATTACATCAATGTAAGTATTACTGTGAAAACCAGTGCCACATTTAACACTGCCAAAATCCAGAGGATTTTAAATCCAGTAGTCCAATAAAGTGAGAACCTAGATAAATGCAAAAGTTACTAGACACATGAGTTTACAAGTTGACAAAAGAAGATATAAAAACAGCCAATCAAGTAGAGGCAATAATTAAAAAGTGTACCAATAAATAAAATCTCAGGACCTGATAGATTTATCACAGAATTATGCCAGAATGTCAGAAAAGGTCTAACACCAATATTACTCAATAAAATAGAAAGAAAAGTATATAGCCTAACTCTTTCCTGAAAGTTATAAATACCCTCATAACCAAGGCAAATAAAGATTTTGCAAAGAAAATACAGACTAAGTCACATTGAGAAACATTTTCTCAAGCTTTCACAGAGAGCAAATTGGTCAAGCAATGGCTGTGACTCACCCTCATGTCAGACACTGACAAAACGATGTACAAAGGACGGTACAGGGTTACAGGATAAATCCTGAGAGTAGTTGGCTAACCTTATCAGATACAAAAGTTACATTTCTTGTTATATAGGTCTTGCTATATTTTGATCTTAACCACCCAGCAGAAAAGTATAAAAATGAGGTGTATAAAGAAAATCCATATTGATACAATGAGCTGTAAAAGGCTCAAGTCAATAACTTCTGATCATAACCCACTAATATTATAGACTGCTAGACAGTGTTAGATTGTTTAGTTGAATTCAAATACCTATAGTATTTGGATGCCAATGAAATATTCACCTCTGCTCTGACAAAACAAAAAAATGATACAAAGGAAAGATCATTTTGAATTTATATACACAAAATATCATAAATTTACAGCTAATTTCGCTTAATTCAATGAGAAGAAAGAGGTGTACTAACAGTGTTTGGACAGAATATCCTGTCTGCTTGTTGTACTATGGATAACCATTAAGAAGATAACAATGTACAGTGTATTGTATATCAAAACTGTCCTATTAATCAGTTGGGAAACTGTCTCATTCATATTTATTTCTCAATGAAAAAAGAAAAAAATAAGAATTTTGAAAACAAAAAAAAAAGAAAAAAATGAAAGAAAATACAGGCTGATCTCTTTAGTGAACATAGATGCCAACATTTTGCTGAGTTTACACACCTATAATATTCAAATAATGGAACTTAACAAAAAAAAGGATACAGATGAATGTCAATTTTGTATCTGTGTATTCAAAGTGGTTAGGATAGATATGTAGCTACATTCTCTTAACGAATAGAGGGATTTGTTCTAGTGGTGTTTGTAAATAGGATATCATGTCCGCATCTTGTACAGCAAATAACCACTAGGAAGAATGTATGCAATGTGTTAATTATTGAAACTGTCCTACCAATTTGATTTGAAACTGTCTCATTGCTATTTGTTTT